TGTTTACTGAAAATAATGAATTGTTCAGTTAGTTGTCTTATTTTAATGTTTTGTTGCGTCAGCGAGATCACGTGACTATTCTCACGCCTTCTGCTTTCTAGAACTATCCTGTACCTTGGCGAATGCTCTAGCATTTACTAGATATAGTGTAGTCTGGTATATAAAAGAGGGTGACAACGTGACAAAATAATGTGATGTGTGTGTAGACAGTGAGTAATTGACCTGTAGTCAGAGAGTATTATTGAAGTTGAGCACGTTCGTTGTTACAGCGTTTGTTTTAGCGTGATTGTTGAAATTAAGTGTATCGTAAAGAATAAACCAGTTTTATTAAGTAAGGACTTGTGTCGCTAAAGTTTCGTCGGAACGTATTTACGGAAAATTAATTAACAAACGGAGACGTAACAATATATATATATATAATAACATACATATTTGTTTTTGATTTCTAAAATTTAAGTTATAATATTTTTATTCCTTAAAATCCCTAAATGTAATCAAACAATGTAAATGTTACATTTATATTTCTAACTTCATAATTGTAGAAATAATTCATTTAGAAGAAAAATAATGTTGTAATAAGCATAATTTACTCCTGGCAAATCATTTATTTATATAATAATTACACATTTGCTCCATCAGTAAAATTTTAAACAAAAATTAGTCATAAGCACAAACTAATTTCACATACAGTTCCAAATGTCTCAAACACATTGTATAATAATGCTTGAGCTAACTTTTCAAAATCTTTTATCCGTAACAGGAGTTGACATTATTATGTAACACTGTCTGATATGCTGTAGTTTAACTTTTAAGAAATATTATTTTATAAGGAAAAAATATTCTTTATTTCTAAATATTGAATTTACATTTATCTGCTCACTAGCAAACAAAACTACATATCATACTTTATTTTAAAAACAAATTCTCACCATTTTAGAGCTAATCTGGATATAAATTCTGGTCCACCTTTGCACACAGAGCAAACAAAAATATAAAATCTGTCTCCATACAGAAGAGGAAAGTCTAAACACTGCAGACATGCTAAAGGGAAGAAAAATTTCAATATAACTTTAGGTCTCTGAGACTTCTTTTCAGGGGTGAACTCTTAATGGATGCTGCCATGTTTACAAAGTGTATACTGAAAGCCATCAGTTGAAGAACAATAAAAACATTTTTAGATCCATGTTGGTATAATAAAATGTTTTTAGATCCATGTTGATATAATAAAAGTTTTTAGATCCATGTTGATATAATTAAAGTTTTTAGATCCATGTTGATATAATTAAACGTTTTTAGATCCATGTTGATATAATTAAACGTTTTTAGATCCATGTTGATATAATTAAAAGTTTTCAGATCCATGTTGATATAATTAAAAGTTTTTAGATCCATGTTGGTATAATTAATAGTTTTTAGATCTACCATGTTGATATAATTAAAGTTTTTAGATCCACGTTGATATAATTAAAAGTTTTTAGATCCATGTTGGTATAATTAAACATTTTTCGATCCACGTTGGTATAATTAAAAGTTTTTAGATCCACATTGGTATAATTAAAAGTTTTAGATCCATGTTGGTATAATTCCACAGCATTTGTTCACGGCAACTCACGATAATTTTCACTCAAAGCTAAGGTTAAAAAGAAAATATGTACAGCCAATACTGAATTTTGAAAAAGATCTTTAATTACTGCATATCTAAAGCATAATGTTTACATATAAATAATATCATTTGTTTTCTCCCACAATTTGTCAGTAATTACTAGTAACTAGTTATTTTAAGAACAATATTATAACACACAAAGTTATCAAATGAAATGACAAAGTACAGGAAGATTTTTTTTTATAGCAGTCTGCTGTAGTTTCAAGAAATAATTTTTCTTTTTTGGAGCAGGGCCCTACACACTTACCACTATGACTACCCTCTGGTCCATATTAATTTTTTAATGCATGTGACACTCTGCTATTTTTCTCACAGTTGCAGAATATGTTTCTTGAGTCTGAACACCCCACATTATAACATCCGTCATAATCATAACACAACCTTTCATCCATAATTTCTGACATGAGTTGCTAAAGAACTTTGAAAATCACTTTTCAGCCAGAATTCATTGAAACAGAATCCCGTTTTCTGTATTGTCTTTTGAGCTACCAATATATATTTTTATCCCTATTTATTTCAGATTTTAAAAAACTTAAAATATTATTTGCAAAGATATTAAGCATAATGCAAATGTCATAAAATGGGATTCCACAAATCTTCTGAGAATGCAAACAACTAATCTTATCATATGTAGTTTTATGACCCAGATTTTATACTTGATATTAGTAAACAAGAGCTGTTTAATTTTGATATATTATTTATGAAATTTTATATGTTGCAACTGATAACAACTATTAACCCCATAAAGTTACACTTAGTCAGAACACTTCACTTCAGAACTTTTGTGTTTATTTTGAAGTGACACACTTCCTCAGGTGAGTGTACTATCCAATCATGCAACAGTACAAAATATGATTTTCAAAAATAATACTTTAAATGAGAAATATCAATCAAAACAAAGGATCAGACACTGACGCAAATGGAAAAATGTCTAAAAAGCAGCATAGACATAACTTTGATCTAAAGGATTTCCAAAAGTTAATCCAACAAAAAAAGATCTTACCTTCATGAAACCATTGCTTACATCGACAGCACTGGAGCATCTTTAAATACCACCTAAAAAAACAAAAACAAATAAAAGTGAAAATTATATTTTAAGAGTATACATACTGGCAATTTGTAACTTGCTCAAACTCTCAGTCTGGTTATGGTAATACAACAATTATTCTGTGATCTATTGCATTTATTTCTTCTTTATTAGTAGTGACAATAACATTTCTATTCATGATGTTAGAAAAACATGTAGCTTCAAGAAGTCTCGATAGAAATTAATAAAAAACCTATAACCCAAGCACTTTCGAAAGGTGGACCTTTCTTCTTCAGAGGCAAACTAGATATTTCTAGCAAGTGTAATAAAATATACAATAAGACTGAAGATATTTTAAACCCTTTACTCTTACTTAGCTGAAAATGAATTACAGGTAAAAATAACATTTGGGACAAATAAAAGTAGAATGATGAGAAATATTTCCAATCTTTTTTACTTTGTTTTATCACAGTTGCAACCTTAAGAAAGATCATACTTTACTGGAAAAGGTGTAACATCATCAATAAAATGATCTCATATACATGACTTCTACTAAGATGGTAGTGACCTAAAGAGCCCAGATGAAAAACATAAGGATGAAACTGCTGAAGTATAGTAAAATCTGAAAAGTTGGGAAAATTATATGGTGCTATGAGCCTAGGATACTCCCAAAATTAGTTCAAATATCAAAAAATTAAAAATTACATCTAAATAAACGTTTGTAAGAATAATTTTCTGCAGACAAGACTGCAATAAAAATAAGTAACAACAATAAACCATAATATACCTTTTGGAAAATAAACCATTCAAGTTGAATACGTGTTACACAACTTTTTAAATAAATCAAAATTACTACCACTGTAACTCAATCTGAGTGAAATATACTGATCTCCTTTCTCAGTACATCATTAAAAAACACCTCGAGATGGTCTATGCTTAGAGTTGAATCACATTTCACGTGATCATTAGTTCTGGCTTAATGTAAAATCAAAAATACAACCAGCAGTTGATAATTTTCTGGTTGTAAGATTGACTTAGTCAACAAGCAGGTGTTATTAACATACTTTTTTCAAAGATCTAGTACAAAAAAAATGTATTTCATTTGAATTAAAATTGATTTATACTTGACAGATGTTGTTAATAGACAGCATTTGTTTAGGAAGTTTTGGACTGTGTTTCGAGCTACTAGCATAGACCTAGCAGCTCAAAATGTCATCCAAAATCTCCTAGACAAATAAATGTAGTCCATTAACAACTTTCAAATATAGTATTCCCTGTCTAAACATTCTCCCCAGTAAAAACTTATTTATTTTTAAACCTTAGATGGTAGTGCTGCAGACACTTGACTCTAGAAGGACTACAGGTTTGAAATGTTAAAATAAAATTTTCTATTTTAATGTACAACAAGCATAGACACAGAATCAAACAACCTGTATCATGTAAACAACACAGGTTTACAGGAAAAAAAGTGGAAATGTTAAGATATCTGTTTGTTATTTGGAAGTACAGAAGCCACAAGTGTGAAACAACAATGAAGGTTTGTGTACGATACACCGTACTATTTTTAATATTTTATCTGTACAGTAATGGAAATATCAAACTATAAATAAACAATAAGGTCAATTTCAATCATCACCAGAAAACAGATATAGCACATTTACTCAATGATTTTAGATTAATTTATAAATTGATAAGTATCACTTCAGGATTTTCATTCAGAAAATGTAATGTTTACAAGAAGAGTCGATATGTTTTATAGAGAAATTTGTTTATAAATACTAATTTATACAATCATGCCAGTCTTTCTTCATGTCTTGAGAAAAAAAAAGTGGATAACAGTTGTTCACACTAGGGACATTCAATAAGTAGATAACAGTTGTTCACACTGGGGACATTCAACAAGCAGATAAAAGTTGTTCACACTAGGGATGTTCAACAAGTAGATAACATGTTCACACTAGGGATGTTCAACAAGTAGATAACTTGTTTACGCTAGGGACGTTCAACAAGTAGATAACTTGTTTACACTAGGGACGTTCAACAAGTAGATAACTTGTTTACACTAGGGACGTTCAACAAGTAGATAACATGTTCACACTAGGGACGTTCAACAAGTAGATAACTTGTTTACGCTAGGGACGTTCAACAAGTAGATAACTTGTTTACACTAGGGACGTTCAACAAGTAGATAACTTGTTTACACTAGGGACGTTCAACAAGTAGATAACTGTTTACACTAGGGACGTTCAACAAGTAGATAACTTGTTTACGCTAGGGACGTTCAACAAGTAGATAACTTGTTTACGCTAGGGACTTTCAACAAGTAGATAACTTGTTTACGCTAGGGACGTTCAACAAGTAGATAACTTGTTTACGCTAGGGACATTCAACAAGTAGATAACTTGTTCACACTAGATACATTCAACCAGTGGATAACACTCGTTCACATTAGAGACATTCCACAAGGGAATAATACTCGTTCACGTTAGAGACACTCCACAAGTGGATAACACTCATTCACACTAGGGACATTCAACAAGTGGATAACACTTGTTCACACTAATTGCCTTTTCCCACCTTTAATTGATGTCATACTGAACTTCTGCTTTTCCTTCTATATTTGTGATATGTCAAAAATTGGGACTCGTAGTAACATACAGTAAGTTTCAAAACATGTATTGGAAACTACTATGAATATGGTAAACTATGATGTTAATAGAAACGCCTTTTGCCAATTCTGAAATGGAACAGTTAAGTCTGCCTGTTGCTAGGTGGAAATGCAAAAAAATCCATATATATATATGTCTACAATGCTGATCTAAGTGTTCTGCTCCTTGCCCCCCCCCTCCCCCCCCATCACAAGAAATTTTTAAAAACTTTGAAACTTTTCATTTTTCTACTTAATAGAATCCATGTAATATTATACACTAGTGAAAGTACCTGGGTGCTTGGGTTATTAGGTTGATAGTGTATTTTGAACCTATTTTAACACAAACGTATAACCTATATACTTTTACTGCTAAGTGACACGAAATAAAAGCCATTGTTTGAACACATTGTTACCAATACGCACTTTCCTATAAAAAGAAAATGTGTCACGTGGGTCACACTAGAGGAAATTAAGTATTTTTTAAAATATTGCCTAATACATTGAAGAACTTAAAACTTGTATACTATAAAAATGTGGATTATTAGCTAAAACTTTATGCTATACTAATTTGTATAACATAAACAAAAAGTAGTTTAATAAAATTTTGAATGTAAGACACTAAAACCTAAGTTAATAAGAGTGAAGTTGGTATGAATATATTTTTGTTTTTATTGTGGCACTTTGTACAGCTTTCTATTCTTAAACAAAGAAACAAAAACAGAGAGAAAGAGTTTTACTTTACTGTTCTTTGACTGATTTATTTTCTAATCTTCTGTTTATTATGAAATTAAGATACAGGTCATTGTGCATGAAGTATACCAGAAAAAAACATAAAACTTAACAAAAACATAAAGCATTAATTTTCTACTACTGTTTCACGAAAGAACTGAAAACACTCACTCTCCTGGACCTCCACAATAGCAGTAACACTGCTCACTGTTGAATTTGTGTTGGGCATCCCAAGTTAAAGTATAAAGCTGTTGGAGAAAAACTTGTCTTACTCTCAAATAAGTTTGTACACATTAAAAATAAGTTACTTTTATCAACTCTAACAAGAAAACTTGCTTTCAAACAAAATATACTTTTATCTGGTGAAAGAGGCACACTTTGTATATACTTGTACTGCAAATATACATTTGATATTTAGAATTTAAACCACAGATAACTATATATATGTAGAAAGTTATGAAATAACAAATAAAACTGAAAATATAAAAATAAAAGATCCAGTTTAAAACAAAAATTAAAACCATTCACTATGAAAGTTATGATACTGACTCAACCATCAAAGTTCAAGAGCCAAACAATATATACAAAATAATATTTGAAGACATTCTCTTTCAAATGAGTTAAACACCTTTTAAATGATCAATGAAAAAATGTAACTAAAAATCACAAACCCTAAAGTCTAACAGCAGGTAAGTAGCGTGTAACCTAAAGTGAAGATTCACTATTATAGAGCTTAAGTTTCAACACTCTCAAATGTTGGGCTGAAGAAGACACATGTAAGTGTTGAATTACTTTTCTATATATAAACTTGTGTTTGGTAATTGTGGTTATTAATTTTAGACTCAAATTTAACTTGTCTTTCATTAATGGTCTAGACTCTATAAGTTGTTCACACATTTAAGAAAAATATTAGACCCAAACCACATCATGCTGAACAGTATCTTATGAAACTTCTATTGACCATAAATGATGGACTGATTTGGTGTTCAATAAAATAGGAATGTACTTTTCCCTTACAAATTTCAGTTTTTATGGGAGAAAAAGGTGCAATGAAAAAGTATTGCCTATACACAGCACATATATATTCATGTAGTGCTAAAAATACTGGACAAATTTTATCTGTCAGAACAAGAAAAACATCATTAAAGCATCCACACTGAATTTACTATGATTGTCACCAACTTCTCAAAATAAATATAACAATGTTAAAAGACTTTAGAGACAGAAATCTAAACAAGAAAAAAACAAATTGTAATACACAATCTACTCCTAAGATAAACGTCTTAAAGAGCAAGTGCAGAAAGTACTACAGAAATTATCAGGCTGGTAATAATAGAAGTTTGCTAATAATTCTAAATGAAGCAATGATTTCAGAGCTGTAATCGTACACTTCATAGCAGTATTTTACTGTATACATGATAAAAATTCTGAAACAACTCTTGTGCTACTTGTTTTTGACTGAATAATGAGACATAACAGTTACTCTTATAATGCACCTCATGGTCCCAAAATGTAGAGTGTATTTATGCAGCAACAGCAATGAACCCTCAGATTAACTGTCCAAGTATGCTAACCACTAGACCATTCTCAGCCCTTTATCAGAAGAATAAGCTAGCACCAGTGAGCTATAGCTTCCTAGGGCAACACAGAGAAGGTATTGAGCCTAATTTTTACTTGTAAATATTTCTTATTTAAAAGGAAATTATGTTAAACTCTATCAAGATGCTAAATTATAAGTAAAATCTTAACCTCAAGATATAAAAAACAGACTGAATACAGATTCCACTTGACAGACATGCTTATCGAGTATTTGAAATGAGTATTATAACAGTAGTTTGAAGAAGGTAGATGAGAACTAGCAGTGGGTTAATGAAATTTGTTAAATCAGTTATTTTCAATATTTTATTCAGACTGTCGAAATCATTTGTTTAAAAATTAAAATACATATATCACTGGAATAGGTTTGTAGAGGGTTTGTTTTATGAAAATTTTAAAAATGAATAACAGCAACAGTGATACACTTATAATAAAAATTAATTCATTGTGAATATATATATAAAAAAAGAACTTTTGTGTAAATGATTATCATCACAAAACAATTTCAGGAGCAAATTATAATATTTGCAATTAAAAAGAACATTAAAAAAAGGAATTAAAATAAATAAAAATCAAGAAAACTGCTTTGAAGTATTTAGATAACTTTAAGAATACACAGGAATGAAACTTGCATCATATGGAAGTGTCATCTTCATTTGTTGCATGACTTGTCCTGCAAGAAAAATACAAATATCGACTGTCAGTTTTACAAAATATACTTCTTTTTTATCTTACAGTTTGTGTACATTCTCATCGTAAGTCCTGACATTGTGGATTTTATTATTTTGAGAATAAAACAAGTTCATTTTATTCATTTAAGTTTATTATATATATATATAACATACAAGTACTAAAAATACATATTCAGTTAAAAGTCAACTTTTAACAAAGGTTTTTTTGTAGCATAAGATTAATATGCATTACTGAAACAAGTATCAAATGCTTTTAACACTTCATATTAAAACAATTCAAAATGAGACAATCTGAATGCACATGCTTAATTATGACTGGATATATTAATCATTATAGAATTAAATAACATAATAAACTCTAAACAATAAACTTGCAGATTATTACATTTACCTTAATACATTTTGACACATTTAAAAGCATAAAATATCTAGCTTTGATATAAAGTAAGAAACTGCATTGTAACAGAAAATATTAAGGATATGTAAAACAAATATTACACCAAAAAAACAAAAACCTGTTAACCCTCTTGCTACAGGCTCGATCAATTCAATCAAGTTCATAACCCCAAAGTGACCATCAGTTTCCATACTATAACTTTTAATGTTTTGTGTATCTTCATAAAATTTGGCAAGCTTTTGGTAAACATTAAAAGTTTTTTTGTTCACAAAATTCAGATTATTTAATACAATATTTTTACTAAAAAGTTGTCTGTGGATACATGGAATCAAAAGTGTTGACTACAATGAATACAAAGTGATATTCATGTTAAGATTAAAATACTTTTCATCATCTGAAAATTGTCAAATTTCATTTGTGTAATCTCTAAATAAATAGCAAACGTTTTTTTCAATAAAACCATTTGCCTTGCCCTACTGTCACATCCTCTCTCTCTCTCACAAATTGCCAATAATTCTTTCTGAAATGTTATATAATTTATAACCAATAGAAAGGAAAAGCTTTAATCTATCAAATGACATGTAATGCTACATTGTTTTCAGTATAGAATATTGTCAATTTTGTCTTCAATTTGAAAGTTTATATTGTGGTGTTCAAACTGAGCAGCAAAAGGGATTAAATTCAGCCTCTCTTGTCCTAGTTAGAAAGCGAGTCAAATCATACCAGTAATAGGACATTGTTTGTTTTGTATATGTTGTTTTCAGTGTTCTTGGGCACAATATTTAAGTAATTAAAAATTTAATGTACTTTTTCAATATGAAAAAGTAGGCTTAAATTTCTTTGGCAAGTGACAGCAAAAAACAAGAGGTCAAAGGTAAGTAATATATTTTAGTTTCTCACACATATTCTATATTTATGGTTATAAACGTAATTAAAAAGTAAGAATTAGAAAATTATTAGGTTAGATTAGGCAAAATATTTAAAACAAATTCTTCAATAGGTATGATAGCAAGCAGCTTGTGCATTATGTAATTTGATATGATAACATGAGCTACATATTTTCTGAGTGATTTACAACTTGTGTGGCAGGGTTATCAGTCAGACACAGGTCAAAGGGCAAAACAATTAAGTATAAGCTATTATGAGGTTGAAATTATTTAGGATAAACAATTGTAGTATTCAGTTACAATTTATAATCATTCTGGAAATAAAAAAGGGAAATTTAGATTCATTTCATTATTTTTTTATGGTGGTCAAATTGAACAAGTCCATATAGTGTTAAGGTAGAGAAAATAACAGATAAAATATAAAGTTTACAAAAAAATGTTTGACATTTATTTAGGAAGGTTTAGAGGTTAAACAAATGAAATTTAAAAATTTTCAGATGAAGAAAGGTATTTTTAAACTTTACATGAAAATCATTTTGCAATTTGAAGCAGTTAACACTGATTCCACGTATTCACGGACAAATCTTTAGTAAAAATACTTGATTAAAAAATCTGATTTTTCCTGTACAAAAAACTTGTAATGTTTACTTAAAGCTTGCCAAATTTCATGCAGATACACAAACATATTAAAAGTTATAGTATGGAAACTCTAATGGTAACTTTGTAGTTACAAGGTCAGTCACATCACCTGATACCATATGGAAAGAGTTAAAGTTGAAGTAAAGTATATGTAAACTTACCATACAATCCTTTTTTAACTGCTCCTCCTTTCTGAGAGAGGAAAAAATATATCTGTATATAACATTTACATCACTTCACTTTAAATATTTGAAAAGATTTATTTGTTTTATAGCAGAGCCACATTGGGCTATTACTGTGTCCACTGCAGAGAATGGAACCACAAATTTTAGCACTGCAAGCCAGTAGATTTATTGCTGTTCCTTATTTGAAAATATACATTTCAAATAAATAAAATATATATGCCTCAAAACAATAAGTTATAGAAAACTTTTTCTGTCAGTAATATAATGTTTACCCTAACATTATATATACAAATGCTTAAAATATTTGGATTTGGTATTATAACTTTTGTTGCTTAATCTGTTTTCATAGGAAAACAAGTGAAGTATCTTAATTGCAACAAAAACTATATTCTAGAAACATATTCAACTATAAAGAGTAAAATATCAATAGCTGATTATTTTAGATAATAATTTGTTTGCCCCTCAAAAATACTGGAAACTTTGATGTTAAGATGTATGGTATGGATACATGATATTATTGCTCACATATCCGAGTTCAGAAAGTTAGTTGCAAAACACCTTTTTTTTTAAATTTACTACCCTAACAAAAAATATAAACAGCCATACAGACAGATCTCTACTTGATTGGAGTTTTCCAATCATTTCATTCTAATTGTTTCAAATGTTTTTAATTTTCCAGATTAATGAAATGGTCTCATACTTGTGTGTATTTGTAGTCCCTATTTTGTTGAATGAAATTATTGCTGCTCAATTATCCATGTGAAATTTGTCTGTATTTGTTTCCTTCCCATGGAAGTTTTCAAAATAAAATTCACTTATTTTGATATTTGGTATAATATACTGATTTAGAGGATCTCTATTCAAAACTCTGTAATTATAAACAAAGAACCAAACATTAACAATGCTAAATAATAGAAGCCATCTTAACTGAAGAAAACAGTCCTACTCTAAAGCACCACCCTGGGATACCAAGGTACCTTTAATAAGCTGTTAAGTAATCTTTGGTTTTGTGACCTCTCTGTTTCATACTGTGTATATATATATATTTCTGTGTCTACTGGTTACGTAATTTCTTTGTTCCATAGATATTCCTGTGTCTATTGGTTATGAGACTTCTTTGTTCAATACTGC